ATAGACAAGTGTCATAAATTTCTCATGCCAGCCCCATCCCACCACAGAGATGTTTCAGCTTTGCTATCTAGTCACTCACATTCCTGTTCATACAGCAAAGTTGCAACAACTCTTGATACAAACAGCAGGGCTGTCTTTTCCCGAGTTTAATGCTTTTGGCACTTGAGGGGGGAGAAGTGCATGTTACTGCGTGACAGCATATACAGCCAGTGTAACACACATTTAAGTCAGTATCCCTTCACCATACAAATTCACAGCTGAGCTTTGCTCTACATTAGGCAGGTAAGAAAGGTAAGAAATACATCATTCTTCTTCATGGAAAACCCTCTAAAGACAGGGTTCTGCTCATGACAAACAGTCTGACATCTGGATGCAAATATACCTAACATTCTCACACTTTTTAAACTATTGTTTACTCATTATATTCAAGATTTATTCTAGTGGCTTATTCCTCAAGATGTGATGATGCTTTGGGACCAGCCAGAAATAAATTCTCAGCAGTCATTTCTTCCTAATGTATTTTTTTCTGGAATTATTTTCTTTCCGTGTGGTTGCTATTGTTGCAATGGCTTTGCTGTTACTCCTGTTATATGAACAGTACAAAGCCCAGCAGGAAGCACCATAAATCTATTACCCAGAACATGATTCAAAGTTCCTTTCTGGTCAAATAATTAACTTGTAACATTACAGCATGTCCCAGATGTACCCTTAGAGTGTACTGTCTAGGGCAAAGGAATTACCCCTAGTATTAACGGGTTGCCAAGCGGAGCTGTACTGTCTGATGCAATTTGCTGAGGCTAACCCAGGAAGTATTTCTATTACCAGATTCCATACCCTGAAATAAGTATGAATAGTGATAATGAAGAATAAGGACAGCAACAAATCTCACTTTACGGGTTGAGCACTGAACTGAAAGGCAAGAGAGTTATTAGAAAGCACATTCATGTTTTTCAGACTGTATACAACAGACACGGCTGATGTCATCTGGTTAGGCAAAGCCTCGACAATGTGCCTAGGGCCTACAGGCAGGTTGGAAGGGGCAATGCATCTTTCCTAGCAGTCCTGAGAAGAGTGCCAGGATGAGAACTGCCAGGAACTAATTCTGGCCTAGCCAGGTCAAGACTCAAAAGCCACATGAACTGAGCAGTGTCACCTCAAAAGATGAGGAGAGCAGAAGATACCCTTTTGCCCCTTTGGTGCCATTCCTGTCCCACCACACAGAGCCTGGTGGGAGCATCAAACTCCCTGTACCAGACAGACGCACCCGTGTACAGCATATTCTCATTCACACCTATTGAAAAGGCTCAGCAGAGCAAAGGAAACCAAAGCTGGCCATGGCCCCTCCTGGTCGGTATTTTTAACCTGAGCCCAAGAGAGACTTGTCTCCTTTGCAGCACTAAGCCTGTCAGTTACAGTATGGGGTCAGCGTGTGGGACTCGCCAGCTCCCTGCTCTGGTGAGCCACAAACCTTTGGCTTTGCCACAGTTGAGCTTCCAGGAGGGAGATAAGCAGCTCCCACACAACCCTGTAAAACACTCCCATGGAGGTTTCCATAACAGAGTCTGAGGGAGAACTTGTGCTTGCTTTGCTCAGCATTCAGGCTTGGGGATGAGCAGTGTGTAGTTTACACCATTAAGTCAGCCACAGGGGAGCATAGGTAACTCCAAGGGCAATAACACCATGACATTTGACTCCTTGTAACATTTTATGGAGGTGTAACACTCCTGAGAAGGACATTGGCATTAGTTTTGTTGATACACTCAGGAGATACATTCTGATAAATGAATCAGCCCTAAAAACACCTATACACATCTCCCCATCATTCTCTGCATTTGAATCATAGCAATGTTGTAATCTACCACAACGTTGGAAACCATTTTGCACAATGAATATTGATATCTCTGTACCTTGATGGCTGACACGTTGATGAGATGGCAGAAGGGGAAGTGCCCACCAGCATGCTGAACATGGAGGCAGCGAAGAGCAAAGCTGAACTCTATGGAGGCCTCAGTACGTTTCGCCTCAGCAGGAGACTACCATTCAGCTGACCCTGAGGGCAGTGTTTACTGCTCCAGAGCAGTATTCACCCCTCAGGCTGGCAAAGACAGCACATTCCTCTCCCTGCAGCCAGGGAGGGCAGCCG